CTTTTGCGGTGACTCAAAAAATACCAGAGATAGAGGGCGCCAAAGTTTTCAAAAGAATTGTCGTACATTAAAACTCTTTTATGTAAAGTCTTATATAATAGTTTTTAATTTATTGTGTCTTGTCATTCAACACGGCCGAGTTCTGTGATAAAAAATTCTGTCAAATCAATGTCAGAGCTATGATTATGCGCATGGTCTATAATAATACTATAGTCTCGGAGATATATGTGCAAAATGTACGTAGTCAAAATGATTTTATCTGCATTTTCTGGTTTCAATTTTAGCCTTCAATTGTAAAGCTGAAATTATTGGCTCATTATTTTGAACACAATTTTTCGAAACACTTCGCGCGCGTGAGACGGTAGTTGAAAATTCTTTTTAATTCTTTTTAAACATTTTTTATCTATCTTTAATGATCCATCCATTATGATTGCTAAACGTCAACCGTCGATTGACGGACGATTGTCTGAACATACTGAACATACACATTAATTGAGCGATCAAACGATCTCATGGAGAGATGTTCGATCGTAATTATATGAAGAGCCTGGGACCTCAGTGCGTAGTCTGGCGACTCATTGCTAACGCACGAGCGGTGAGTGGGGGGCAATAGGCGTGAGCCACGGAATCAGGCCGAAATGTGCAAGTAAATCCCAGCACTGCCTAAGAGAATTTACTCATACATTATCCTATATAGTACCTATAACCAGTTTATGGCCGTATGGCGAGTATTCGCCGGAGCCAACCCTATACCTAAGCAAGCAAGCAATATGAAGAGCCTCGATGTTCGAGCGATTAACAAGTAGTATCGTCTTCCACGCTCAGTGGCGCCACAATCTTCAGAGTGACTTTCTTTATTTATCCCTATACTTCCGTTCTTCATATAGTTTAGAGCTCAAAGAGCCTTTACTACGTATCAAATAAAAATTATCATAATACTGGGGTTGGGAAAAGTAATTTTATAATGGGTAGGAGTATTCGCTCAAACGAGATTCTTCATATAATTACGATCGAACATTTCACCATGAGATCATTTGATCGCTCAATTACATTCAGGTCTCGCTCTCGATTAACCGTCGCAACGCCAAGTATATAAAAAAACGTTTCAGCTTTTCAACGGTTTGCCTATGTTGTTGCCTATGTACAGGGGCC